CGCAAGGGTTATGTTGGGCTTGTCAAATGTGAGTTTTGGGGTCATCTTGGACTTGATTCGAGTTATAATAACTGTAGCATTTTTTTACTTATTTCGAAATTTAGTCACTTTTTCTCACATGGTTTTGGAGCTTGGATTTGGGCGATTTTGGAGAGGATTTTCACTACATGGATTGGGATAAGTATTTTTTACTCAGTTTTTATTGTATTCCGTGATTCCATCTATTTTTGGTATTTGATTGATAATTTCAAAAGAGAAATTGGGGTTTTTTTCAAAACTTTTCTAACGTGAATTTTTGAGTTTTGAGCATCGATTCGGAGTCAGAATTGAGTGAAATTATTATGGTTGGACTCGTAATTGAATAAGTTGTCAGATTTTATGAGTTTTATCGGGTTTCGAGGTGCGGGCTCAGGTTTGACTTTTGATTGACTTTGAGTAAATGTGTAAAGATTCGACCTTTATCGATTGATTTTGCTTCCTATGGCATTATTTGATGATTTTGAGTTCCTTTTAGCTAGTTTCGAGCCGTTCGGAGGATGATTTGAGCGGGATGGCGCTTCTAGTTTATCGATTGGGCTTGTTTGAGGTAAGTGTCTTACGTAACTTTGTTGGGAGATTTTTTTTTACTAATTGTCATTGTTTGCTACATGCGGGGGTGATGCATATATGAGGTGACGAGCGTATATGCATGTGCTAGGGTTAATCATGCTCGGGAGTAAATTATATGATTAATTGTGCCTTGTTGAATTACGTGACCTTCTTGTTTCAGACTTCTAGACTACTAAGAATGTGAAATTAAATGCTAGAAATCAAGATTTAGCTTATTATAACTTGATTAAAATTTGACGAATTTTCATGAAACTATTGATGTGTTAAATTCGGTTATCACTATGCTTAATCACCAATACATCGCTACGACCCTTATTCTTGAGATATTGGATTCTATACTTGAATTGAAGATAATTTTTGAGACTTGTTGAAATACTTGCACAATAAGGTTCTTGAGGTTTATTGAATTGTTATTGACTTGAAAGTTGTGATTGATGTTCATTTGGAATATCCGCTTAAACACTCACCTTGATGTTATTCATGCTTCCTACCTTGCTTGTCATTAATATACATGTGCTTGGTGAGGAAGAGTGTAAAGCATGAAGGGTGATGCCGTGCATTGCATATACATTATCATGTGAGGAAGAGTGTAAAGCATGAAAGGTGATGCCGTGCCATTTCATTTAAATTATCATGTGAGGATGAGAGTAAAAGCACGAACGGTCATGCCGTGCTATTTCATTTACATTATCATGTGAGGATGAGAGTAAAAGAATGAAGAGTGATGCCATGCCATTTTATTTACATTATCATGTGAGGATGAGAGTAAAAGCACGAACGGTGATGCCGTGTCATTTCATTTACATTACCATATTTTTATATTATCATATGTTCATGGCACGAAGGGTATTTCCGTGCAGGCGAGGACGAGAGACATGCATTATGTGGTAATATATTTTCCTTGTGCATACATTTATGCCTTTATCTTGAGTTGTTACTATAGCACCTATATTTTTTATGTGACCCGTCATTGTTGTTATGTCTTTGTCCTCTATCTCAATTGTTGTTGTGTTATCCATGCCTTCTATCTATTTAACTCGCAAATATCATGCTTTCTTTCTTGTTTGTAATATCTACATCTGTGTTATTTCTCATTTGTTGCACTTTCGTATAAGCCTTCTACCATGTTAGTTACTCATGCCTTCTATTTGTTTAGCTTATAAATATCACGCTTTTCTTCATGGCTGTTATATCTATATCTAAGCCTTCTACCATGTTAGCTAGTAAAATTTATGTTCCTCTATCTTAAATGCTATCATTACTTTTATGCCTTTTATCTAGTCTGTTACTGTTTTCCATATGCATTGCATTGCTCGTTATTGCTTCCTGTGTCTCCCACTTCATCTATATTGTTATTGGCATTTCTTTCACCTGGTTGGTACTGTTATACGTATGTTCGGTGAGGAAGAGATAAATGCATGAAGGATGTTGCCGTGCCAATTGATTTGACCTATATTCATATATTTGGTGAGGATGAGATAAATGCACGAAGGGTGTTGCCGTGCTATTTGATTTGATATCTTGAATACATTTCTCACACCATGAAAGTTATGAGTTTACTTCCGTGATTTCTTCTAGTAATCATTTACTACCTCGCATAGTTGTTTTCTTGTGCTCTTATCTGTTATATTTTAGAACTATTTCTATTTCTAGTCTACTGCACAGGTAATAACAGTGAGAATCTTTTAACTAAAAATCCTCGTCACTACTTCAACAAGGTTAGACAATATACTTACTGGGTAAATGAGATCGATTGTACTCATACTACACTTCTGCACCTTGCCTGCATATTTTGGAGCTGGAGTCGCTGTGTATGGCGGAAGCTGGCATTGAAGATGTACATGCATACTGATTATAGCTGCCACTTGTCATTGGTAGCTTTAGATTTTGCTAATCTGTTTATGTAAACTCAAACAGATGAAGTATTTATTCGTACCAATTTTTTGTAAATTCTAAGTCTTAGAAGCTCATGATTTGTACTACTAGTCATTGGGTTATTGTATAAATCTTCCGATGATTCTTCACTGTTTTCTTATAAATCTTATTTGGATTGTATTGACTGTTAGTCAGCTTACCTAGCAGGACAAATTAGGTTCACGACTAGTAAATTTTTGGGTCGTGACAAATAATTGGCAACTTCTACATAATGGCACATCCTCTTCGATGAAAAATCATTCTCCGACATTGCATGCCTTTCGACGACCTAAACAGTCCTAACGCATAAGTTTAAGAAGAAAAGAGATGAAAGAAAACACAGAACTCTAGATTTGGTTGCTATTGATTTGCGAGTGGTGGATTAAGGATTTATTAGTTTATCGGGTGTTTTAACTTAGAGTGGGCGTGTCCCTCTACTTTGCTTTATTGTATAAGCTAGTCCCCGTTATATTTTCTGGCTCTATATATATATATATATATATATATATTTGACTTGCAAATGTTCTTTTGAGAAATACTTGGAATGTAATAAACAGATCCATATTTGGTAGAGCATTCAAGTTATTTATGAAGGTTTTGGGTCACTTCATCCACAACTTTAAGGTCTAAGAAAGAAATTCTAATTTTTATATATGGTACAAGTGACGGTCTCTGTTTTATACTCGTAGGTTCATATGAAAGCAAGTGTAAATTTTGAAAATCTATTTTAGCCTTAAAAAGGTTTAGGTACTCAATTTATATGCACAAATTTTTGTTAGAGCATGAATTTTTTGCTCATTCTCACACTAGTAAATTTGTAGTAAAGTTCAAGTGTAAAACACAAATTCAAGTTAAAAAAGGTGTCGGTTTGTATAATATCTCAAAGTGCACATACAAAAGCATTTGAAGAGGTTCATTTAAATGAACCCCATCTATTACTTTAATTTTTAGATACTAAGTTATTGAAAATGACTCGCTTGCGTTACTGATTCTAGAGTCTGCATACATATAATTAGTAGTTGTACTAAAATTGGAGTTTCAGCAATGTCAATAAAGTCATATATAAAACCTTGAGTTTTTTTTTTCCCCTTCTTTTGTGATGATCAACTAAGAAGATATTTCTTTTCCAGTTTTGGTTGCTTTGTGTCAAAACGTTTTTATATATTTTTGTACTCCAGCATAAACAAAAATGGTTCCATGGTCTAGTGGTCAGGACATTGGACTCTGAATCCAGTAACCCGAGTTCAAATCTCGGTGGAACCTTCAGTTTTTAATAAATTTTTCTTCATAAGACCGTACAAAAGAATTACTACACAGTAATTGGTATGGCATAAGCATTATTCTAATATGTGTCTATAGAGTAATTGGTATAGGCAAATCATCTTACTTCACAAAGCCCTGAAAGTCGTAAACTATGACGCTAGATACTGACATGCAACGGTTTCTAAAGTGATTTAATTTTTAATTATTTTGTACACCATTCACGACATAAAATTTTGAATCCATTCCACCAATTCCTCTACTAATTGTTCACATTTATCAACAGCTTTTATCAAAAGTCACTTAGGCATCACCAGCTCAGAACTTGCAGATTTTTCATAACAAAAAGAAACTAATTTCAAGACAAGGAAAAGAACACTTTATCACTACTACTACATTACTAGTAGTAATGTTCTCTCGAACATATTTGGCAAAGACAACCTCCAATCTTTTATTACACATATATATACACACTGATATATATAACCTACCACCTTTGATGCATGGTGTTTGCTACTAATTTTCAACATATGAAAAATAAACTGCAATCACAAAATAAGAGAAAAATATTTTTACTAATCAATTGTGAGTACAATTCTGTTTCTTCCTTGATTCTTCTCTACTGATTATCTCCGTGATTCGAGGGCTTAAGCCGCGTATTTCTCGAATGTAGGATGATGCAGACCTCCTGGGGATGTATTTGATCTCCAGCTTCTTGAACTATTTGATTGTCAAGAAGTATCCGGCCATATTTTGATCTCTTTGTGAATATCCCAAGAGTTTATGGGATTTTGAGACACCTATTCAAGGGAATATCTATTCCTTTATATAGGTGTGAGTTAGGGTTTAGGGTAGAGTAACCTCCAAGAAACCCTAGTAGACTCATAGGATTTCAAGAGTCCCGTAGTATCTTGAACTTAGGATTTGGCTTGATCCCTTAAAATTTCGATGTCTACCCATGATCTAACCAAAGAAATACACACCGTATTACTTATACTAGACCAAATCTTTCACTACATGAAGTTGGTACAATTAGCACAAAGTAACTCGACAGAACATTACTACTAGTACTATTTAACTATACTTATTCTTGTTATACTTAACATTTCAACACGACCACATGTTTCTTGACCACAAACACCTATAAAAATATCTATATATTTCTTGAGGAATTAATATACTTATTTAGGTGTTCTAAAACATCACTACATTAATATCTATGGATTAACTCTAGAAATCATTTCCATCAAGTCAATCTCCTTATTATTGACTTGATCACCTTGCATGAATGTAGGCAGTTCATAAGGAATAATCTCCAAACCCATGCATTTCTCCATAATGGAAGGTGGACCAACGTGAATATCTTCCATAAAAGAATTCATTCTATTCTCTTCAAAAGATTTATCATCCAATGCAAATTCTGGGACTTCACTGAAATCACAATATTCACGAACTTGATCAATATTCCCTTGGCAAAACTCAATGGTTTCTACTTTGGCAGTAGAGTTTGTGGCATTGCTAGTTTGAGAATATTTTTTGCTGTTTCCCTTTTCCAAATTCAAGCTTTTGATGTAATTCTGGAGGAGAGAACTAGGCTTTGGCCATTTGGTACGACATTTTCGTCTTGAAAATTGCCTTCTTTTTGTTGCATTCCAATGATTCTTAATGGAATTCTCAGTTCTTCCAGGTAGTCTTTTTGCAATTTCTGCCCATTTGTTTCCCACTTCGGCATGAGCTTCTATTAGGATCTTGTCCTCTTCCTCTGTCCACAAATCCTTCTGAAACAACGCAAATAAAGAATTTAAGCTCTATTTATTGACAGTTAATAAAAATATTTAGATAATCATGTCCTTTATATATTAGGTAATTAATTATAAATAAATTAAATTATACTACTAATGCAAAAAAACTTTATACTGACGGTGTACAACAACAACAACATCAACCCAGTAAAATCCCACAGTGGGGTCTGGGATGGTAGTGTGTACGCAGACCTTACCCCTATACCGAAGGAATAGAGAGGTTTCAGAAAGACCCTCGGGTCAAGAAAACGAACAAAAACACAAAAAATTTGTCCTAAAGACAAAAATGACGGTGTATATAACTTAAAAGCATATGGAATTAATCGTTAACAAAATTTTCCGTAAGTCCTAAGGAATATTGGGGAAAAGAAATTCTACTACATGCTTGAATATAGAAAGAAAAACAATGACAAAGAAAGAGAAAAATGTGAAAAACTTGCATTTAACGTAAAGATAATACGATGTTAAGGGAAGATTCTAAACAGAAATCAAGATTAATATTATTTGCAAAGAAAGAAATAAAAAATCATACTTTTATATCAGGTCTAAGATGATTGTGCCACCTCTCTCTACATTGCTTCCCTATTCTCCCTTTCAGTGTTTGAGCAATTTGAGACCATTTTCTAACTCCAAATTTCTCTACCAAATGGATCAAAAGCCTGCACGGAAAAAGAAAAGTATAAGTTTATTTTGATAAGTACATAAAGTTTTGTCAATAGGAGTTTAATCTACTAAGACAATCTTCACGGCAAAAGAAATACAAAAAAACATGAAATAACCAAAGAAATTCATAGATAATAATGTTATAACATAATTAAGTATTTAAAAGTATATTTTGTCTAACAACGTAACTCAAGCTTTTAAATGAGATGAAACGATATGATTACCTGTCTTCTTCAATCGTCCATTGTCCTTTGGCGGATTTAGACTTCTTATTCCTCCCTCTACCTAGTTTTTTGGTTGACGACGAAGATAATAAGCTACTTTGATCATTTCTTTTCACCTTCCTATTCTTTCTTAATTCACCAATTTCTAATTTGCAATTAGAACCATTAGTGACACATGATGAACTTTCATCAGGCACAACAAAATTCAAAGGCTTCACATCTTCACAACTCAAGGAATTAAAACAGCTCTCATTGTACGTGTAATTAACATCCATAGTATTCTCCTTAATTGTGTTACCACTCTCTCCATTTTCTTGATCAAATGGCTTAAGCTCATAACTAAAGTTAAAATCTCCTAATGAAGAAAAATTATCCTCATTGGTGAATGGATCAAAGGGGTCATAACCATTGGTATCAATCATAAAATTTCCAGTGTTGTTGAAGGTATAGTTAAGATCAAGGTGCTGAAAATCTTGAAGATAATAATCTTTAGAGTTTATGCAAAAATCATCATCTAATTCTGGTTTGAGTCTATTGTTATTAGGCACAAAAATTGGGTGAAAGGAAAGGTCTTGTTTATCAAGTTCCATTGGAAGGAAATTAGCTTGAGGAAAATGGAGGAGAAATGAGGGGGAAAAAAGGGAGCTCTCTAATCTCTATTTCATTCTCTGATCTTTAATTTAATTTAATTTAATTTAATTTCCTTCTCTGTTTGTTATCTTAATGGTAGTAGTAAAGGAGTGACATTTATTCTAGTGTGAATGTATCTGGACTGTTTATATCAAAGGGTGATCTAATTGTTTTGTTTAGGACTAATTAAACAAAGTATGTACAAAATTTAGGTAGTTTTATAATGATTAGATTCACAAGTTAAATAACATATGTTTTTGTTGAATTTTATCATTTGATCACAAAATCTGATTTCTATTGATTTTTTATTCTGCCAGATTTGCATCTTCTTTATTGAGTCTATTATCTTTTTCATTGACGGATGTATATCGAGGTTCGAGTTACATACAAAATTGAGTATTTTATATGTATTTATTTTAGGGTCAAAAAATTACATGTACATTAATGATATGTGAATAATAACATTAAAAGTAGTGTGGAAATTAGTAAATACATGTAAAAAAATTAAATTCTTCATTCTTCTTCTTCCCTGTTTTCCTTTTCGACCCGTATATAAATGTAAAAGACGGGTTTACTTATTTCCTTAATTGATATAGTAAATATGTACCATTAAATTGTTCAGCTTAGTAAATTCACATTATGTGAAATTTATCGTAATTTACCTTTTCTTTTAAACTTTTAACTTTAAAATGATGTGCGCAAAGAATACGGAGGAATAAGTCAATGGTATTTCTTTAATTAAAGCAGTCAATAGTAGCAATTCCTTGTTAAAATTAGCCAATGAATGTAATAAGAAGTTACTGCAATTTAATATAATTTTGACTTTGCATAATAATTTTTTTGCGATAAGTCTTCATTTAACATCAATTCTCCGAGTTATATTTTCAAAAATCACACAATTGTATCATTACTCAAATTTTCATCACTCATTTTTTGGCCCTTTGCATTAATCAAATAGGCTTTTGTTTTAAAGAGAGTAATATGCTAAATGTTTCGAAAATGGAATTTTTTGTTAAAAATTTCATGTATTGATAAGCGAGAATTTATGTTGAAAACCAACTCTATTTTGGAGAGGACAATTTAATTACCATGTTAAACAAAAACATGTTTCGTGTTTTAGTTCAAAAATTTGTATTCTAGTCTTTAAATGTCATAAAGATTTTTTACCATTATAGTCCACCAATTAATTCTTTGACCATGTAATTGGACAACCAGAATGTTCGTCTTAGTACCTTTAAATCTTTAGCATATAGTAGGAGAGTACGTAGATGAGTAATTATATTTGTTAACTGAAGCTCTCTTTCTCTCTCTCTTTTTCTATTGTCACATTAAATTCTGAAATTACTACTTGTCATTAAGAGTAATATTAATAGTCAGTAAATTATCATAGATGGCATACGATAACTCAGTAAACGTAATGTTGAATCCATTATAATGGTTAAATGTTGCAGCTAACTATTCTCTCTCTCTTTTTCTTTTAAAATGTAGAGTTTTATTGGTCTAATTTTACTACTGGATAAAATAAGTAAATAAAAGTAAGGTATGACATTAACCTAACATCAGTAAGTAAAATATATCGGAAATAAATGTGACAAAAACGAGCTTTTTTTCTCCTTTTTCGAGAGAGAGTTGGGGGTCAGTTGTTTAATACACAAATCATACGTGTGGCGCTAGAAAAATGAATTTTGTTGATAAAGGGGAATTGACAGAGAGTATGTATTTATCAGGAGAGTTTAAAATTAACAACAAAAATGGGCATGATATGTAGTCAGCTCTACACTTTCGCAGTGACAGTTGAACCATCTAAACGATAACTAGGTAAAAGTCCCCTTTTTACCTAGCTATACGATAATAGAAATCTTTTTACTATCTTTATTTATGTTCCTTATTAATTACTTTATATACCTATATTTACTAGTTTTATACAAAACCATAAAAAGGAGTGGCAAACCGATTCAAGAAATTTCTGACACAAGTATTCAATTAGTTCGGACTTGTTTAGTATTAAATTGGAACCAAGACAAAAAAAGTTCTTCTTGCGAAGAAGCCCGTGCTTCTTTTGTTGAAATAAGGACAAATGGTTTGATTCGATATTTCCTAAGAATCAACTTAGTGAAATCCCCTATTTCGTATATCGAAAAAAGGAATGATACGTCGGAAATGAAACATACCTTAAATATTGGGTATTAGTTACACATAACCCCCTACATTTAAGATACTCTTCCTTTTTCCAAGGAAAACTATATCTGTCTTTGTACTTACCCAAAATCATCACCTCTCTTTGTACTTACCCAAAATCATCACCGTAAGAAACCCACTGAACCTCAAAATCATCACCTCTCTTTGTACTTACCCATAGTAAGAAATCCATTGATACCCATAATCTTTCTAACCCAAAAATCTCGCTTACTCACTCAGTTATTCCCCAAAATTGCAGATTCTTCCCTCTTCCAAAGCTGTTGATATGTGATTTCTCTCTTTAATCGTTCAAAATCTCTTTCTTATTTATACAATACAGAAGAAATTCGAAAATTTGCTCTACAATCAAGTTGTGGGTAAACTTCACTCTACATTAAAGTTGGTTTTAGGTTGAATTTCATAATTAAACTCGAGGAAGATGAAGTTTCGGAATTGTATTACGATTGTATGATAAAGGTATCATACTTGTATCTGAGTTGAATTTGATACATCAATACCTAAGACAATTCTGATACAATACTAATACTATTAAAATATAATATTGTGTTATAATTTAAGTTTAGAGTTGGTTCTAGGTGGATGTTTTAAAGTGAAACTTGAAAAAGATGAAGATCAAAGTTGTATCATAATTTAGAATTGTATCACAATTTGTACCTAAAACAATACATGATACAATACTAATACAAGTATAATACGATATTGTATCAGTTTAAGTTTAGAGTCGGTTTTAAGTTGTATCATAATTCTGTCAGAATTGTGTAAGAATTCTTTCAGGATTGTATCAAATTTGTATTTGAATTATGAGCAGTTGTGAGATCGTGACGAATTTCACAGTTTGTATCACAAATATAGATAATTATATATTAATTTATTAGTATTGTATCAGGTATTATTTTGAATATTAATGTACCATCTACAAGTTATATACAATTGTGATACAAGTATGATACGCTTACGTTTTATGTATTGATGTATCTGATACAATTTAAATACAATTATGATACATTTATAATCCAATTCCTAAATATTTCTTCATTTTCAGTGTTGTCCGGTCTCTCAGCATAAGAACGATGCAATTGATGATTTAATAATGTAAAATTATCGGTAATGGTGGGAAGAGAGAAGATGGAGATTCTGGGAGTAGATTAAGGAATTTTATTGTAAAAAAAAAGGAGAGAGAAGAGGAGAGGGAAAAAAAAAGGAAAGGATATAATTGAATCCCTTAATTGAAGGCACTAATAATGGGGTGAGAGCCTTTTAAGGAGTAATCTACACAATTTGTAAGAAAAACCTAGATACTTATTAAAAACTACAAAATATAGAGAACATTGGCAAATAAGTTTCTAATATATTATAACTAGGTAAAAGTCCCTGGAATGAAATCAAGAGCTACATGGCCCGATAAAAGTATGTCACCTCATTAAATTGAAGGTCCACCAGCTCTGCCATTAGACGTGGGGGTATTTTTATTAATAGAAATAATATAATGTGTATTTTCGGATTGATAGTGGACGTCATGTGTATTTTTAGAGTGATAGATGAAGGGAGGATATTTGTAAACTATTTAATAAACAATAAAGATTGTATTGACCCTTTTCTGATTCCTATTTTAGGCTATGTAAGACTTATTTGATGGCATAGGTGATTTAAATTTAAATATCATATTAATTCATAATATTTAAGTGGATATAAATATATTGTTAAGCTTGGAAAATTTGAATTTCATAAAGTAAAAAAGGAAGAAGATTTTGAGACATTTATAATTATACATGTAGGATTGAACACAATTAGTTACCAATTGTATCTGCGAAAAAGGACCAAAGTTGTCTTTAAACTATTTTTTTGTGGCTATAAATACCCTCCGTTTACCTATCAGTCCAAAAATATTCCCATTGTTATTTTTGGAGCTCATTTTTGCCCTTATGACTAATATATAGGAGACTTGCGGGATGATAACATCACAAAAAAAACGGTAAAGGGTCTGATATGTCCCTCTACTATTAACAATTGTTTAAAAATGTCCTTCGTTATACTATCGGGTCAAAAGACTCCTTATCGTTATACTATTAAACAAAAATGCCCCTAAACAGATGGAATAGACACATGGCATTGATTTAAGGCTCAAGGGCATCTGGTTCGAACCCGCTCCGACCCACATACGTGACATCCAAATTTTGACATCCAAATCCAAACTTACACAACCTGTTCCGACCCACTACTACTTCATCCAATTTTGAGATTAACCCATTTCACCTTTTTCACGTTTAGACATTAGCCAGTTCACCATTTTCATATTTTTCACTACAAACCCCAAAATACTACGATATTCATTCATATAAACTTAGATTGTAAGAATTTAATCTTTAAGAGGGGTAATTTAGTGTAATTTTTATCAACTATTATTTGAAGCCATCTTTGTAATTCGAAGTTGGAACAATGAACAAAGATGGGATTTAACTTGAGAGGACAAATGAATAGAAAGGTCATGTTCATCGCGTGATATTGCTTCCTTATTAGCTAAAGTGAAGCAATTTTTTGCATAGTGAGCGATAATAGCAGTGGTGTTTTGGCAAAGATTTGTAGTAGATCTCGTCGGTTTTCATGGTGGTTATAAAATGAAGAAGGAAAACAGTGAGAGAGAGTTGAGATAGTCAGTGGTGTTGGCTTTGTGATTTTTCCGGCGAGTTTCACTGGTTCCGTTCTCTTATTTGGTGGAATGAGTTTGCTGTTTGGATGATGAAACACGAAGAAAAAGAAGAAGAGAAGAAGGGAGACGAAAAGGGGCCAGTACAGTGGAGGTAGTACTACAGGAGAAATTTTCCGGTGAGCTTCCATGTTTTCCGGTGGTTTTGGTGTAACGTCAGAGAAGAGAAGAGGGTCGTGTTTGGTGGGGTTATTTTAGGGGACAGGGCTTAGGGTCGGATAATAGAGGTATTGGGTATTTTAAATTGGGGATGGGTCAACTAAATCTGAGAGTGACATGTGTCTATTCCGTCTGTTCAGGGGTATTTTTGTTTAATAGTGTAACAGTAAGGAGTCTTTTGACCCGATAGTATGACGAAGGACATTTTTAAATAATTTTTAATAGTAGAGGGACATATCAGACCCTTTACCGCAAAAAAAATTCAGTAAGACCGTTGAAGTTGCATAAAGCTGAAAAAGTGGAGATCGCCGGATACTTTTTTGAAGGATCCAAATTTTATTTTTCTTCCTCTCTTTTCTGACATACAAAAATATAGCTGCTTATTCTTGTTCTTCAGATTTATAGCCCGTTTGGCCAAGCTGCAAAAATCAGCTTATTTTGAGAAGTGCTTTTTTTCAAAAGTGCTTTTCTCAAAAGTACTTTTAGTGAGAAGCAGTTTGTGTTTGGCTAATTAGTTTGAAAAGCACTTCTGAGCAGCAATTAGTGTTTGGCCAAGCTTTAAAAAACTGCTTCTAAGTGTATTTTTCTCAAAAGTGCTTTTGGAGAGAAGCTACTTTTTTCTGCTTCTCCAAAACTGTTTCTGCTTCTCCTCAAAAGCACTTTTTTTCCTTCCAAAAGCTTGGCCAAACACCTCAATTTTTGGCCAAAAGTGCTTTTGGCAAAAAAAAAAGCACTTTTGGCCAAAAAGAAGCTTGGCCAAACAGGCTATTAAACGTCGTAGAGGGTGTTTGGCTAAGCTTATAAGCTGATTAAACTGGCTTATAAGTATTTTTCGGCTTATCTACGCGTTTGGTAAAATTAAAAGTGCTTATAAGTTAAGTGCTTATAAGCCAAAAGCGATAAGTTGTTCTCACCCAACTTATCAAATTTTAGCTTATAAGCCTTTAAGTTTGACCAAAATATTTATTATTCTACCCCTAAAATACTTCTTTTTAAAACAAAACTCTTTGTATACATAGTTCTTCAGCTGCTTATTACTAATTTTAACACTTTTATCCAAACATGTAACTGCTTATTTTTTAATCAGCTTCCGCACTTAAAAGTGCTTTTCAGCACCTAATTCTCTTACTATTTCTGGAAAAGGATTGAGGCTGGAAAAGTAGAGCTTTGCCGGTATCTTCTTTTCCAGCCAACTCCTTCTCTCTATCTTTATGTTTTCCGGTGAGATTTTATCTTTTTCGAGTTGGTTAGTGTTTTGGTGAGACCAGTAATAAAGTATTATGTGAAATTTAAATAATTTTTTTAAATTCAATATTGACAGTTAGTCATAAGGGCAGAAATAAGCCGAAAAAACAACCATGGGGTATTTTTGAATTGATAGGTGGACGAAGAATATTTATTGTCCTAAGGCAATAGTTGAGGACTAGTTTTGGCACTTCTCCATTATATTTAAGGGACTTTTACCAAATCTTTGCATCAGTACTCAAGGCCACATACCGTATAGAGCAGGTACATCAATAATCCAAAGATTAAATTATCTATGGATGCCAAAAACCGAAGCCAAACACAATTTGAGAAGAAAAACAATGAAAAAAGAATTACATCAGATCTCAGTAATAGAAGCAAGATTATCTTAAAATAGAACGAAAAGAAGAGTCCGAAAAAGAAAACAAAACTATTAGTTGCCGGAGTAAACTATTTTCCGGGGGGGGGGGTGGGGGGGGGTTATGCGAGAATCAAGCAAAATTACAATGTTTTGAATATATGATTGATGAAATCTTGGTCATTTGATCCAATTTAGTGTTTGAAAACCAAAATTCCCTAATACCTTCCAGAACCACACACGATGAGGAAGGCACTAATGTGTAGATAAACTAATCTATCGCGATACATGCTTTTGGATCTGCTTACTTTTGAGGAGCATTTATTTTCATTTTAGCTTCTCCGAATTACTTGTAGAGACAAACTCAAAATTTATCAACCGAATTTCTAATTAGCTGAACCATATAATTTTTTTTCCAGACCTGGAGACCTTTATTTGAGTTCTGAAAGAAAGAACAACAAAAAAAAAAAAGAAATAAATGGAAAAACAAAGAGGAGAGATGATGAGGCAGTTGAGCTCCAGTGGTCTGGTGGCAAATTTCCACTAACGACAATAAGAAAAGAGAAAAGAGAAAAGAGAAATGAGATAGAGTAAAAAATGACTTAAGCTGGAAGTATTTTTGATCCGGGTAACAAAAGTAGGGTCGGATTCGATTAACAAGGCGGATATTAGATCAATGTAAAAATATGCCACCTCATTAATTGAAAACCCACAAGCTTTGCCGTGAGATGCGGGGTATCTTTATTAATAGAATTAACGTCATGTGTATTTTTGGACTGATAAATGGAAGGTTTAAGCAAATAATAGGGGTATTTTAGACCCTTTACCGAATAGGAACGAAGTTGCGTCTACATCTAATTAACTTGAAAAGCAATTTTGAACAAAATGATTCTCCCTCAGCTCATTAAGAACTTCCTCCTTTCGATGTTATGTGACGCTCATTTGACCCTGTCATGACTTTACTCACTTGAACAATAAAGTAACAAGAACATGTTCAAGTTTCAGCATCTCTCACTTCATTTTTGGTAGTAAAAGCAATTTTGGAACTACAAAACATTTGTTCAGCTTTCTGTTATTCTGTTACATTTCAAATCTGTAGATACTATTGCATGGGCGGAAAGGGTAACATTTCAGACCACAATGTTGAGGAGTTTGTGTACATCCAAAAAGTCATTCTTTTATTGATGAAAATAGTATAGATGCGAATTCAACTGTCATTTTTAGAATATTTAAACTGTTAATGAAAACATTACCCTCCAAAGGCCAAATCCTTTTGCTGGAAATTGCTGATCACACCCAGAAATTGATAATTTTGTCAACTATTGAACACTAGTTTCTCACTGATACATAAAGGACAGAGTTATATAGCAGGGCATTGTAGCTGGAAGGCCTTCTCAGGGTTTTGTCCGTCGATTTCTGAATGGTGAGGGACATCATAAGGCATCTTTTGGGCAGAAAAACCTGCTTCATTGAACGCTTTAACAACTTCTTGGTGAACAATGGCATTGCCTTCCGCTGTGAGATGTAAGCCATCACTGTAGCAAAATAAAACAGACAAAATAAAGAGTTTTCACATTTCACCATCGAGGGTCTTCGGAAACAACCTCTATGTCTTCACAAGGTAGGGCTAAGATCTGCGTACACTACCTCCCCAAACCCTACTTGTGAATTACACTGGGTCTATTATTGTTGTTGCTGTACATTTCACCACTAAAAATATCCCCATAAGTACTGAATTCAGTGTAACTGCCAAGACACATGTATATTGATGAGGCCATCAACCATGACAAGAATGCCACAGTTTGCTGCTAATTGAGGTCACCAGCGCATCTCCATGCCAATCCTCCCCACCCCTTCCCCCGAACTCCCATTCATTCTTATAGAACATTATAAGCATGATCATTCCTCTAACATCATATTGCACCACGAACTTCAACTATCAATGAGGACTATGCAATTTATTATACTTGAAAGCATGTGTACATTTGTCACTTACCTGAGGAATTTTTTTTGCCAACCCTCTGTTTCCTGCATTTTCGACCATAGATTGATGGAAGGGAGGCCTAGCTCCCTTGCCAATTCAACGCATTGTTTTGCGTACTCTCCTGTCACTTCATTTGTCCTTTCTGGTAATTCCATTGCTTTGTCTCCATACATAGACCTGTTTTTCAAATTGAAAAGTAACAGATCCCAGTACAATAATATTCGATTCAGTTGACAGTGACACGCTTACGTTTAAAAAAGTGCCATACCAAAAGCTAAATATATGAAGCAAAAAATAAGCTGGAAACGTAAAACTTGGTTCACTGAAAGAATTTTGCTTTTAGAGGAAAAAAGTGGATAAAAGGAAAATGATCAAAAGAACAATGCAAAGAATATGACGTGATGTCTATGAGTACATGATAAAGGCACAGGTCATACTGCTAAAAGGCTACTGGGTCCTGAAATATTCATCTATACTTATAAAGATCATTTGCACTACTGTTGCTATAAAAGTTATTGAAAGGAATGTACTCTCTGATGCGGGGCCACTACTGAAGGGTTGATCTCTTGTGTGACAACTGCATATTCGGCTCCTACATTGGGTACTGTTTGATAGCCATGATCAAGGGAGTCTCTAGTGATGCTGAAGCTGCCTTTGCAGCAATAGCTGTAATTATGATTCAAAGAGGCACTGTACACAAGAAACCAATCTGCTTATTCCTCTTTCTTTTTGCCTTCTTTTTGGAGAAGTCTGCTTATTTCTCCAGTGTATGTTTGAGAGGTTGGTTAATCTCTCCAGTTATATGCTGAGAAGGTATTTGATACTGTTATCTACTCAGCTTTTGAACAGTTAAAGCCCTATCCCACTACTAAAAGGAGCTCCGGGTTGTGTCAAGAAGGTTCTTGAACATCTCAGATACCAGAGTTCAAAAAAGAAAAAAAAAAGAAAAAGAGCAATTGGTTGCTTCATATTTTATTTTACCAATAAAGAGAAGGTGGATTGTACCTGGCTTGCTCAAACCGTCCTGCTTCATCAACTGGTGGTGGAGTTATCAGCACTACTAGGATTGACGGGGAGCATTTCTGTGTTGTAAATAAGATGAATGATATATACAAAAGAGCACAAAGCTCAACCTAGAGTTCTGAAGATATATAGAGCATAACAGAAGACAAGGGCCTAGTGTATCCTGTGGTACTCTAAACAACCCCGGAATCGAGCAATTGGATGGGTATCACTAGAAGAGTGAGATTCAAACTAAATTCAATTTGCCAGCAGGTGGATTCATGATCTCTATATACTTGGGATATTTTATGTCTTCTCAACAAGCACATTAACAAGAGTACGAACTAAAGTTAACAAGACATCTTTTATGTCTGTTCATGCCAATCTACCATTCCCATTTTCTTGCATTGTACTTTTGCTCATTATTTGTGAAAGTGAATAGTTGGTAAAATTAATTACTCCATTGGGCAGAATCTGCATGTCTTCCAACTAGCATAGCAACTAGGTTTTGAGAGGTTGCATACTCTTATGGACTACCATTACACAACTTGCATAGCGACATCCAAAGCTTTGTTTTACAGATATTCATTCTCTCTGATGTTACTTATGAATATGTATTCCTCTATGTTACACTCTTTCTGATGTTACTGACGAATATGTGTTCCTCTATGTTACACCGACTCTTAATTTCGCCAATATGTAATTGTGTCAAACAGGTTTGACATGTATATCTGTACTTTGTATGAACCTTGAAAAAAAAAATACAAACATGCTAAAAATTGCACATTTCCTGCCTAATTCATATCTGAATCCTTACTCATACGCAAGTCCATGTAATATAGGTGTTCCTCTTCTAGAGGGGGGAAGAAGAAGAAGAAACAACTAAGAGGCAGATAACACCATCAACCTTCAACAATATATTAGTCTATGGTAAATTATTTGATTAACACAGGAAATTCACAATCACAGCCGGTAGTGAAGCTTCATAAGTCTGTTACTAAGGTCTTTATAGTGTTCATTCAGTTCAGTTATTCCACAAATAACCTAATTGCGATGAGATAAAAATGATTACTAACCTGACCTCAAAAAAATTATTCATAAGATGCTAGGCTTTAAATAATAGCTCAGCATCGGAGGCTCAATTTTGATTCTTCAGTATCCCGGTCATACAACAGAAAATTGCTGCAATGCTTCTATTATCAAATTTTGTGGGAAAACTAGCTATAAATTTCACAGTTTTTTCTTTTTATGGTGAGATTGAGTAACTCTTGTTTTTTACTTAGTCCTCATAGCATATAACACTTGTTGTTTGCTGCATTGGCTTAATACTACTACTATTTCCATTGTTACCATTAACTCTATCCTTTTATTTCTTCCAGATCCTGCCATTTTTATTGTTTGATAAGTCTTCCATAGACAAACATAATTAGGAGGAAAACTTTAGCACATTTGAAAGTCAGCATTTAGCAACAAACAAACATGATTGAATTGGGAAATTCTAAACCTTCAAATGTTGTATCATTCTTCTTAGGTTTTCCTTATATTCCTCGAGTGGGACATGTTGCCTTTCACTGGTTCTTCCCAAAAGAGCAGCATCATTGGCTCCAAAGAATATAGTGGCAGCAACAGGAGGTGTTGGAGCATCCTGCAATATTAACCAAAGAAACACTAATCAGAAGATTTGGCAATAAGTAACAGTGCAGCTCAGGACCACAACAGACCTTTGCATATATCAAACTCCCAAACTATGTGTATTGTTGTATTGTACTAATAACCTCAAGTATGAGGCAGCTGAATCTAACAAATAGCCTCATAACTTAGCTTGATTGAATAGGATCCTGAACAAACTTACTCACTTATAAATTAGAGATATCAATGTTGAAAAGGAGCAACTTTGTTGCAGCAAAAACAGTTAAAGAGTATGACAGTATACCGTTCTTATACTAGTAAACAGCCAAATCAAGCAACAAAAACTCAGCTTCTTGATGTGGCTGGTCACAGAAGTCTGTTATTCCATGGCCAATTTCATCTTTTGTTCTCTATTTCTGAATTACTTGAACATTCCAGAACAAGAAACTAACTCAATTCTTGGTCTGTCATGAAACTTATCTTAAGAAATTTCACATTTTCTTCTTTACTTGTACCCTCTGTTACATAGAACATCACATATCTCTTTTCTACCTTTTGAAACAAAAAGTATGAGAGGAAAACTGGGCTCACCACTGTACCGTTGCCCAATCCCATCGAAGAACAACAAATTGAACAATGCCTCTTGTCTTATCCCAAACTCTGGTCGATCGCATTCAATTTTATTTTTTCCCATAAGTCTTTCTTGATCCCATTGTTCCATGAACGCTCAAATTAAGCATAAAGCCACCGATTCCATAAAATTTCAAATTTCAAATTTCAAATAAAGCATAATCAAGTGAGTCACAAGAAAGTTACAGAGAAGCCCAGTTCACGAGGATCAAAACTCATGTATATATACATGAAATAATTCCCTCCCTAATTTGTTGCATATAAATTCCATTCCAATTTCCAAATACAAACTACAAATAACACAATCTCTCATTTCCTTCATCCCTATTGATTTTGAAAATTCGTAAAAATCTTGATCTTACCCTTTACTTATTATATATAGCAATGAGCTCCAACAAAATTCCTAAAATGGGAAATTCAAGTACCATCCAAAAGCACACACTAACTAGCATCAACACATATCTAAATCATTACAATACTTAAATGTCCTATAATCATGAGGTAATAAAGATCCAACATCAGTTGAGGTCGGATATATGAATCCTCAGTATGACAGTATCCATTAAGCCCATTTCATTAAACAAATATCAACGAACTCAGTAGATTTCCAACTACAATTTACAAAAACAAAATCTTTTTCTCTTAGACCCTATTGATTTTTTGTAAATTCAGCAAAATTCTTGATCTTACTCTATATCAAAGCTATAACTTTTTTAGCAATGTACCCCAACAAAATATCCTAAATCATTACAACCCATCTAAATATCCTAGCTCCAGTTATAATCATGAGGTAACAAGATCCAAAAACAAAAGGTATTACCAAATGTGCCAAAAATGGAAAAACCAAAGGGGGTCGTGTAACGTACCAGTGGAAATAGGTGGTGGAGCAAGAACAATCCCCATTTGGTGTTGTATCCACCGTAGCCACGATTCAATATATCAGCCTTCACAATTATCAAATCCAATGACTTTTAATTAATAGATGCGTATAATTGTTCAATAGATCCACTTGATTAAAAATAAAACAAACGAACCTTGCGAACATAAGTATCAGCAAGAGCGGCACCCCAACCACCTAATCTAAAAGATTGTTCAGTAATGGAGTCCCCAAATAATACTATTTGAGGCCTCATTTTCAGAAGTTCAAAAATTTCCTGAAATTCAAACCAAAATCTTTGATTTTTGTTTTTATACTATTGCACAAGATGAGGGGGAAAGAAATAAGGGGTCCTTTGGTTGACTGGTTAGATTTTTGGCGTTTTTAATAATTTACCTCTTAACAATTAAACTGATTATACTAACTTTAATTTATTCATTAAAATTTTAACAATTACTTCTAGGCTCTTTTACTTTAACAAAAAGAAATTAATTCCTTCTTACTATCTTAAAAAAATCAAATATCGTGGACCACAAAAAAGCTAAAAAATCAATTAAAATGCACCGAAGGGAGTAGATAGTAGCTATGCAGGAATTAATTATGTCAAATTTAGTGATGCAAGAGTTAGTTATATTGAGATTAGTTATGCAATATTTAATTAAACGAGGATCAGTAATGAATGGACTAGTTATGCGGTAGTTATGTAAAGATTAATAATATAAAAATATATTGTGAATATCATTTATTATTAGTCTAGATTATTCTATTAAAACTATCATTATATTTTAAATATATTTTTAAAAATAAAATATACAAGTTTGAATAGAGGGTATTCTTATAATTTTTTTTTATACAAGTACTAATTACTAATACATGTATTTCATCTTCTACCCTACATAAATAATACACAGATTCTCTCGTTACTTAGTACATGTTTAGTTATGCAAAAAGAAAAGTATGAACCAAACACTATATTAGCATTGCTATGTTTTAAGTGGAAAAAAGAAAAAAAAAACCCAGATATTATTAAAACTTATGCTAGATTCTATGTGGAGATTATTTTTTCTTATTTTTATAACTAAACATGTATAAAGTTATACTAATTTTAATACATGGATTACTCCTCTCTAGTCGGCTACCGAATGCCCTCTAATTGTAAAAAAACCTCTTGAAAACTTGAATGGAGAAAACAATCTCCATTTTTTGGAATTTTTACTTAGCTATACTACTTTTGAAAATTATTTACCCTCACTATTAGAGTTTTAACTTAATTATAAGTTGATATACAATTTACCACTTTTATACATTTTAGTATTAAATAAGTAGGCCTTTTAACTTTGTAACTGAATGTCTCTCTCTCTCTCTGTGTTTTTCTCCTCTCCAATTCAATCTCAAGCCCAGTAGCATCACTAGAAAGCTCCATGAACATAGCCCAGTAAAATGAATGTGGTTGGATATACAATTGGTGAAACGTAAACATATTAATGATTTTTTTTAGTTTCGGAATCAATAAACTAAATAGTATTAATCAGAAGCGAGAAGATTAAATTAAAAACCCTATTAATCCATTAAAAACCCCATTGACAACAATTAAAAGCTTTGAATTTAAAAGTCAAATTTTGTAAAGTTATTATTTATTTGGATTGGGTGTTGTTGCAAATGATTGAGAATATCCTTTGGAGGTTCATATCTCAGTTTTGAGAGAATTTGGGAAAAATTCGAGGTGGTTTTGGTTAGAAATTTATATTAAAACTACAAGAAGAAGAAGAAGAAGAAGAAGTCATAAACAAACTGCATATATATCTATTCGGGTATAAAAATGACATACAAATATATACAACTAATATAAATCTATACAATTTATATATAAATTGAATGTAAATTGTAGGGTTTGATCGAATTCTGTATAAAAGAAAATTGTATAGCCAAGTTTTCGATAAATTAGGGATTTTGACTGAATTTGTATTATATTTTGTAAAAAACTTTAGTTACTTTTTGTAAATAGGAAAACTTAGATAAACCGGGTAAATAGTTTAAAATTTCTTATATATATGAAAAAGTTTCATTTTTCTTTCTCACTTATTTTGGGCCCAAAAATTGATAAGACATGGTATAACGACTTATGAGGGTGTGGGACCCACTCCACCATGTTGGTTTTCGATAATTACGAACCAAAATCAGGCGAAGATAGATTCTCTCTCTCGTCATATAAACCCTCCAGCGCAGTGTATTTGTTCAAAAATCGTCAATTACAGGTAAATCCTAAATTTCTTTTTCTTTCTTTTCTTAAAACATTGATTTTGGGGTTGAAGACAAAGTTTTTTTAAGTGAGTTCCACGTGCATTTTCTATTTGTATTTAGTCGATGGATATTGTTCCTTGTTCGACTACATTTGAGCTCTATTTTTTCAACTATCATCGTTGTTGCATCCTAATGTATACATCATAAATCTATGATCGATTACAATCTGCTTTTAGCTGTTTGTTGAAACTGGGATTTTTTCCTTATTCCAAGTCTATACTTCAAACTATTAACTGTGACATTGATTATTTGCATGTTGTAAACATGAGACAGAAACTGAAACTTGCTAAGCAGCCTTATGATCCAAAAATAAATTGCAGCAAAGAAAGCAACTGCAGAGCTTTGAAAGCCTGCCACTAGGAAAGCAATTGCCGAGCCTTTAAAGTATGCTACCACGAAACGAAAAGATGCTCCAAAAATTGTTAGTAGGAAATATGATGCAAATAGTTCAGAAGCTTCCACTAGTAAAATCAATACTGAGGTTTCTAAGCATGACAGTAGAAAAGAAAATAAAGAGCTATCAAAACCTGCAAACAGGTAAAAAATAAAATAAAGTTCTAGAGTAGTTGACGGAGAATGCCCCTACTAGTAAAAACCTATAGCAAGGTGTTTGATGTTAGAGGGAGTCGATGAGCAGAAAAAAGAGTGTTGACATGAATGTAACACAATCAAAGAAACTTGTTATCAAAAAAATTAATTGATGAAGAAAAACTAACAATGCAGATGAAGGTTCTAGTGGGGTGGGAGATAAGAATGATGAAGATATTTAGTAGGATGATAAAAATGGTGATGATGGTCAGGAGGGTGATGAAAATGGTGAAGATGGTCAGGAGGGTGATGAAAATGGTGAAAATGATGAGGAAGGTGAAAAAGATGATAAAGAAGGAGATGTTGCGGAAGATGAAGATGGACAAAAGAAGTTGGAAAGTGAAACCGGTGGAGGAGATAAAGATGACCAGGATCGTCTATCAGTTTCGGTATTTGTAAGGGCGATTGGTGCAGTCAAATAAATTTTTCGGATATTTACGAATTAAATATAGACGTTTTCTAGCCAAGATCAATGTGAGGTCCAGGATCAACAAGTTTTTATGAGTATAAAGAAACGTTAAGAAGAGACAAAATTCTGGACAAGTTTGAGAGTAGTTGTTTTGGATAACTTTCTAAACTTTCAGAGTATTGGATCCAGTTCAATGGACAACTTGTCCGTTCCATGCTTATTCGCCAAATTAATTGTGCGAAAAATCACGAGAATGACCTTTAGTTAGAGACAAGCCTGTTCGTTTTGGCTTGAAGGAGTTTGCTCTGATGACTGAACTGAACTACTGTGCTATACCCACTCAAGAAGAAATGGACAAAGTCTTAGAGGATGGTGAAGTCTTCTGCAAGAAGGTGTGCCTAAATAGTAGGAAGTGGGTGGAAGCAGAGGGGCTTTTGTAGTTGTTGAAGGGAAAAATTTAGCGCTAAAGAGAAGATAAAGCTTTCCTTGGTGTGTTTGTCCAGTGAATTTGTATGGCTACTAATTTGAATTTTTTCATGAAATATCCATTGGACAAGAAATATATTCTGATTTTAATTAATTACTTGAAGAAGGACATGTTGTCAGTCTACAAACTGTACATGACCAAGAACAAGGAAAGAAAAATTCCATGTAAGAGGTCTGAATCGGCTAGTTATGCCATGTATGGTTTCCCATGGGCATTCATGATAAGTGATCAAAAGGTTTCTTGTTGAGTACAATTATTTTATTATATTGTACTGAAATTATTAATTTTTTCGTTCACATTGTAAGGCCCCGTAAAATTTCACCTAGAACTCGGAGTTTCGTGGTACTGAGGTAGGCTAGTGTTTGGGTTGTACAGTGCGTCAGGGAGTTGGAAGAAATTTTTTGCAGAACTTGGCATTTCTGAGGTCCACTATGTGGTCACAATATCACTTTGCGGACCGCAGGTCCGTCGTAAAATGCAATAGGGCCCAAGCCAAACTTGAAGAGAATTTTACGGTCCATTATGCGACCATATAATTATTTCGCGGTCAGCAAAATCTGTTGCATATCCAACAAGAAGAGTTCCAGAGGAAGACTTCACGGCGCGTTATGCGACCGCATAACTATTTTGAGGGACGCATAACAGCGACAGACTTGACCAGGCCAAGCCCAGTTTCGGGACCATTTTTGCGGTCCCCTTTGAGCCGCATACTCATTTTACAGTCCGGTCTGCGATTGCATACACGGTTTCGTAGGCTTAAGTTTGAAATTTTTTTACCCGATCCTATTTTAATAAATAGACTTAAGGGACCGTTTTTAAGGGAAATTTATTTTAAGAGAGATGGGAGGAACTAGAGAGAGAAAAAAGAGCTCTAACACCTTCCACTTCAATTTTTTGCCCAAGCCTTGGAGAATTCATTAAAAAGCTGGGAAATTGTCTACTAAAGAGGTAAGATTCTATCCCTAGCCTTCAATTGAAATTTGAGTTGGGAATAGGTAATGGGGAAGATGGTTTTGAGAATAAGAGTGGGTTAATGATGCATGCACGTGCCAATGAAGGTGGTAGGGAGGTTGTGGAGTATACATGGGTGACATATTGAAGTGGGGATTGCTTGTGGGGTGAATGAACATTAACATAGGACCCTATAGTCGAATATGCCCGCCTAGTGTATGATGAAATGCTTAAATGAGCTGAACCCACAAATATCTTCCTAATTATGGTTAAATTTTGTTATATCTCTAAATAGATTGAAGGTGCTAGGATTTCCGAAATATTGTAGTAATTTAAGGAAAGATAAAAGCGAGGTATGTTGGCTAAACTTCTCTCTTAGAACCGAATCTCTTGGTGTTCTCGTAAGTTTCAAGTATGAAAGGCCAAACTCTTATTTATCATGTTCTGTGTTACTCTTTATGAATTTGACTATTCCGAATAAGCTTGTGTTGAAAGATATATACTAAAAATGTGTGCTAAATGCTCCTATCATATTATGTTCTCCTTCGGAAATGTGTTCAAATGTGACTAATGTGTCAAAATACTATGATTTCAATCATGATTCAATTGTAAGTTATTATGCCAAGTTGTG